TGAAGAGTTAATGTTATGTTACTGAGCGCCAGCTGGGAAAACGTCTACCAAAGATGATTTTGTTCATGTTCAAAAACAAGGTGGCAGTCAACAAAAACTGAATTACAGTATGCAAAATGTGCAGGATGAAAATTACAAACAGAGACACAAAAACATTCAGTCAAGTTTTTTGATGATTTTTCAAAATTCAATATATTGTTACCCTGTTGTTGAAATGGCATTACATTCAGTGAGGAGCGTATTATAAAATGTTTAAGACTCAAAACTTGGGACTTGTTAGTCTTGAATTGGGACTTGAATGCAAAAACTTGAGACTTGTTACTTACAAAACAAGTCCCACCTCTGAGACCAAACTAATCAATCTCTAGCCAGTTAAATTATTGGTTAATTCCATGTATTCAGCCAATCACATGCTTGGTACTCAATAACTTGGACACGAGATGCAGTCAGGAATTATACAAATCATCAGTTTGTAATAAAAATATTTGAACTTTTCCTCAGTCCTTATTGTTTAGTACGGAGTTGTGGCAGAATATTTTGTTTTCTTTAATCTGTTTTTTTATTGTATGATGTCATAGTGCAGAGTGAGTTTTGCTCAGCACCCACAACTCTGATTGACTTCCATAGTCCCTCTCATTAATACGTGTGCAGCATGTGCATCAGACATCTTAATTTTTCTTTGTCAAGACTCAGATCAATTATTTGTCTCCACCCTGTGTCTCATTTGAAAATGCATTTCAGCGATAATCTAATTTCCTGAAACTTGAACACCAAGTTTCATGAGGGCTGGAAAAACTGGATCAATGACATTAACACAGGATTTGAAATTGGAAGATGTTGGCTGTGTTAGAAATCTAGTCAGGCTGTTTTGCTGATCATAAAAAAATGCAGCAATCCATGGTGTGGTGGAAGCAGATCGAGTTTGTTGTTGTCAAAAGTCAGCAGATTTTAAGCTAAAATGGCACCATGAGAGTCTGATGGGTGCTTGGAGATACAATCTTTTATCAGAAACCAGCCAGTCTAAACCCACCTGGCAGAGGACATGACACTGTGGTTTTTAAATGTCAGTTGTGAATGAACATACGTGTTGCTATTTTTGGAAAAACCTGTCCAAGTGAATAAATCAACAATGAAGGTTAACAGGGGGCAATGGCACTGAATGAAAGGCCTCATTGGCAGGAGTGGCAGTGCTTTGACATCGACTGATGAGCCATAATTGGAAGTTTCACTTTCAGGTAGCAGCGTGAATGGATTTTTATCACACAGGGAAAACACTGTAGTTGTATAAAAGGAAAGGGAGCCAAAGTCGAGCTGTTCATTGCATCGATTGATCTGCATCATGGCGTCCTATTCCTCCCATCAAGCAAAGCACGCAAGCATCTTTTGTTGAAGCTGTTTCAAAGCATGTTTTACAACTTATTTAATTTATTCCAAACATCTGAATCAAAAGGTGTTTTTACAATATTTTACAGTGTTCCTCATTGTGTCATTAAATTAGGAAAGCACAGTGAATAAAACAGAGAGAGCAGCTGGTAGGTACACCCTCCTCTCTCCTCTAGCGGCACTGAACAATAAACGTTTAGGAATGGCTTCCTGAGGTCAGCACATTGCCCAGACTCTCTGTCTGTGCGTGTGTGTGTGTGTGTGTGTGTGTGTGTGTGTGTCGGTGTCATTCCCTGATTGTATCTACAACAGAGAGAGAGATACATGTGGACACATAACAAATAGTATCACAAAAAATAAATATTATTGTGAGCACATCCCTGATCAAAGCTGATTTCTTTATATCACACTGCGAGACAGGATATGCCTATATGTTTTTGTGTGTATGCGTGAGTGCGTGTGTGTGTGTGTGTGTGTGTGTGTGTGTGTGTGCATGTGTGTTTCTGCTGATGATAGCAGCAGCAGCTCAGACGTGACAAAGGGACACGCAAACTCAGCAGGCCGATGTGAAGAGCCCACAGTGACCATATAGCCGACTCTCAGTGTGCACATACACATCCACACAGCAAAACCTCAGTTTCTTCTATACATGTTTAACAGACCACACTGCAGCACATGCAGTGTTACTCTCTCTCATGCACACACAATAACCAGCCACACAAGCCTGCAAATTCAATGCTAAATTACAAAGAAACAAGCTGAAACTTACAAATGTATCTTTATATATGTTTGTAAAAAGCTTTCCTTAAATTGTCTTTTTCCGAGCAGGGAAAATTTGTGAAATTGATATCTGAATATCTGAGCTTTGGTCAACATATGGACTAAAACAACAACCTTGTCTTAATTTAGTGAAATTGCATACATTGGGTCAGGGTCACCTATCAAAATAGATACAATGTAGTGACAACTGTCATTCTTATTTCCTTGTCAGCTACCCAGAAAAAAACAAAACAAAGTCAATATTAGAAGCAGGTTTTGCAGTGAATGCTGACTGCCTCTAGGGTGCAACATCTCCACATAAACCCTGAATTACCAGGTCTACAAGGATAATTAATTTGGGAAATTGTGTCACTCTTAATGACCTCTCAAGCTTGCAGGGGTCAATCGGTGCAGAGCCACGTGTGAACATTGATGTAGCTGAAAACGGATGAACGGCTCATGGACCTGAAATCAGTCTGAATATTCAGTGCCTTTAGGGGCTTTGTTGTTGTTGTTGTGGCTGCTTACTGCGCTTACAGTTGGTTTGGCACTGTTATCACCACACACAGCACCACTGCAGAGCTGTGATAGATAGTCATGTGTGACTGAGATCTGAGTGAGTCATGCAAAGACTTTACATGCATCAGTAGAGAGTGAAAGAGAAACAGGAATAGGATTAAAACCTCACAGAGTTGTTTCCATTCTGGTCTCTCCTCGGCTTCCATAACTGGGTTACAGTGAGCTGATGCTGCCTGTTTGTAGGGCCAACATGCCTGTATGGGATTTTTTTTCTACAATGCAGCAGTTACTGTTTCCAGGATGAGACAACAGCTGTAAATGTGAAGTCTGAAGAAAATGCAGTTAATTAGAGAAATATATGAGACTGCAGGTCTTAGACTTAACATGTTTTTGGTGGATTTTTAGGGGTCTACGTACAAAACAAGCAGTGATGGAAGAACTATTAAAATCCTTAGTAAGTAAAAGTAGCAAGAATACAGTATAAAAACAGTGCATGTGACACTTGAAGTATCAAATTCTACATAACGGCTCTTCTCAGTGTTACTGGATCATTATTCCAATTGCATTTAGATGTAAGCTGGTACTTTAGTGTTGTCAGGGGTGAAAGAACTAGGCTACTCAGATTCTCAGTTAAAGGTCCAGTGTGTAGTCCAGAACGGACAGGAAAAGACACTTCATTGGCATTGGCAGAAAAACACTGACTTTTTTCATGTTAAACTGCTTACCTGTTAAAATCCCAGGGTCTGTTTATTTTGGAGAGGAAGAGATTTCTGTGGATAATTTGGCTCATGGTAAAAACCTCCTGAGAGTCAGGATCAGGAACAAGGTGAGCACCCATTAACAGATGCTGAGCTAGCAGTCCGTCTGTAATGGACTGAACTGCATTGGAGAGACACTGATTTGTACTGTGAAGCTTCTTTATTCAGTGTTTTTACTGGTTTTAATCTCCTGGTCTGTTCAAGAGGAGGAGACTTCTGTGGATAATTCAGTTTCAACTATAAACCTCCTGAACAATGAATACTAAGGCCCAGGCCACACTGCATACATGAGCAGCACATGTGCGTTGCGGAACTTGTTTTTTTTTCCCAGCACCTTTGTTAACAGGTTAGAGCAGCCACACTGTCTGCGTGAGCAGTGCTGCTCAGACGCGGTGCAGCTGCACTGCTCAGCTGTGGCACATCTAAAGATTTGGAGGCCTACTGATTTGTTTCACATGATCCTTGGTTCTCAGCAAAAATAGATAGTGGAAATGGTCCTTTGATAATCTTATTGACATTATACCACCTTTCACTACAGTTTCAGTGTCTAGATCACTCACAGACATGTGCATGAAAGTGTACACCTTTGTTTTACTCAACTGCTCCTGTTTTGATTTCAAAATACAAGCGCTCTTACAATGTTTCTGTGGACAGAATCCCTTTATTTGTTAACATGAGCCTTTTTATTGTGAAATATTGCTGTGACCATGTTGCTGATAATGCAGTGGCTTGCATGGCTCCATGAATGAGTGGAGCACCACCTTTAATCATGGAAATACAATAGATACAGCAGCAGGCAGCTCTGCAGCAGCAACAACACTGAATGTGTGAACAATGCATCACACACTGCTCATGCATACAGTGTGGCCCGGGCCTAACGGAATTTTTACCCAGAAAAGTTTCAGCTCGTTGCAATCCCCAATTCTCACCACTAGATGCCCTTACTCTTACACACAGCTCCTTTAAATAAACGTACCAATAATAACATTGTCAAAGTACTCCAAGTTATGGTGTGGCATTCAAATGGACCAGAAAAATGTGTGAGCCTCTAGTAGAGGTGGCGACATTTGCAACTCACTGCTTTGCAGAGAGCCAAAGTGGTTGTGTTCTTTAGTTCATAATGTGATTATAGTGCAGGAGCTGTGGCACTTTGACACTGGCAACGCCCGCCCATGAATCCTTCATCCAATAGATTTGAAATTCCATTCAAGTAATTATCCAATGACAGTTTTACTCCTGTAAGTTGACTATATGTTTGCCTAGGCTACTTCGTCCGTTTTGACTGATTGATTGTCCATTTGAAGACAGACTGCAGATCAGTCAGTGTGCTGCAGTTTTCTGTCCTCTAATTGAGATGCCTGTTTCAAGATCACAGTGACTGACAAAGTCTTTGTTGGTTTAAATGTAGGACTAATGGATATGTTTAACTTAGATATCTTCCCTCAAAGGGAATAGAACAAGCATGCTGCAAATATCCCGGGTGTTGTGAATTTATCAGCGTTTTTTTCATCTGGATTATTGCGCGCAATTGTCGGTTATCGCGCAGATTGCGCGCAGACGCACCAGCCGCTTTGAGTCAGCCGCTCAGACGCCCCCCTCCCCTCCTTGACAGCAACGGCCATCTGCCGCTTCTTTTTCAGTTTCAAACCCAGCAGATTATTTACCACAGACTTCTAGCTTCACTTGACACAACAGAAAAAGCGTCTCAGAGAGCAGCTGCGCAGAAAAGCAGCAGGAATCAGCCCGCTGTCCGCATATTGCGCTCAGCCAACGGGAGCCGCGGTCGCTTACATGCAACCCGTCTGCGGAGACAGACTACAGGCTCATAAAGACGAAGCGGATTTGAATTAAGCACCGGATAACAGACAGCAACTGTGCATCTTTCGGTGAGGGAGGGAGGGGGAGAGGGAGGCAACTGTTTTGTATCTTGGAAGCCCTGGGTTAGGAGAGGGGGAGGAGGAGCGGAGAATGAGCTATTCTTGTACCAGCAGAGGCAACAGCCAGGACCCGTCAACCGCTAAGAAGCCTGCCGGTAATAATCCGGGCAGAGACACCGCAGGCACGAACAGCAGCAGTAACGGCAGCCCGAAGCAAACGGCGGCGATGAAAGTGAAGAAAGGCTGCAACTCGACCGACGTGGGGGTCCCGGTGACCACGGAGGAGGACCTGCTCGGCAGCGCGGTGATCACTCCGGAGGATGTTCTGGGTTTGCAGAAGATCACAGAGAGTAAGTTCACTGCTGCTGTGTCAGTTGCTGAGTGACACAAAGAAGGACAAAGGTGTTGAAGTGTTACAGCTCCTGTATGAGTCATGTATCACGTCATTACTGTGTCCCCTTATTTATGTAATCCACATAGGCCCTATTGAAACACATGGTAATGCATCACGGGAGCCCCCCTCTCTGGTAAATATTAACCTGTCTGCAGATGTGCATTAAACCTCCTCTGGTGACCTGTCAGCCTGGCAGTGCTGAGTGTAGAGGTTAAGTTTAGTGCTCAATCATGGAGGTGAGTGATGCTTGAAGAGGAGCTTTAAAACATCATGTGTGCAGTTTGAATAAGTGCAACCAAGCTGGGAAGACAGAGCGGTGAAGGAGTCCCAGTGCCAATGCAGATGACAGTTAACTGCTGAACATGCATGGCTTGCATTTTATCCTTTTAAGTGACACCATGCTGACACTTCAGGATGATTTTATTAGACTAGAAAGGTGCAGAGTGTGATGCCGGGATGACAGAGGGGTCATCCTCCAAAGCAGCTTGCATGTTTCCTTTGCATGAGTTCACATTTAGTTCAGTGCTGAAGTTTTCAGCTGAGCATAGAATTAAAACACCCAGGTGTCATGTTTGTTTGTGTTTGTAATATCACATTTTTGTTTGTGTATGTTTTTAACAGATATCTAGATGACAGATGAATACCTCTTCTCTATAAGTGGACCTGTTCTTAAATTGAGCTAGAATTTGCAGTTTAATTCTGCAGTCAGGTAGCTTTGGATTTACAATAATCTTATCAGGAATGTTGTACACACCATCAGGAGAGTAAGAGTGCTGTTGTATCAGAGCTTTTAACTTAAGTGTAAAGTAGGGGAGCACAGGGTTGGGTGTCCCCCTTTTTTCTTTGATTTGAATCCCTCAAAAACTATATCCTTGATAGACCAAATCACATTGCTTATTTGGGTAGAAAAGCATCATGTCACGTACATGAAATGGAATATCGCCGAGCAAGAGCTGCCCCAATGAGTTAGTTTTTAGCCACAAAAGGCTCACCAAAAAAAGAATCAATATGTTGCAGCCCCGCCGACAGCAGCACATCACAGCTTCCATGCTGGTAGACCTTGTTTATCAAAGATGCTAGCAAAGCAACAAAGTACATAAAATGAGCACAGCAGAAATATCAGATACGTTGGACCAAGTTATTTAACTGTATATCTTTAAACATCACAGTTAGAGCTTAAAATGACAACAGTAATCAACTGGTTTGCGGATTTTATGTATCTTCACAACTGTATTCAACTGCCACTTGTCTATCCAGAAGTGATTGTTATTGTTAGTGTGACATCATGATGATTTCGGTCCATGGAAGCCTAAAAGTGGAAGCATAAAGTGTCAGGTAGAAATGGAGTGACCTTACTCTCCTGTTTAAAAGATACGGACTGTCAATATGTTTTGTGCACTTTTAACTACCATCCCATGTGGGATTGGTTGTAACACAAAGTAAGGCTGGGGGTCCCTATGTCGAAATAAAAAACATGGAAGCAATCTTATAAATGAATTTTAAGAGTTAAATTTAATGTAAACTTTCTGTTGAGATGCATCGACCTAACCAGCTGCGTCAAGAGAACATAAGCAGGGAAAATCATCCTTGTAAGTGCATTTTTCATCCTTAAATAGCAAAACAAAGAACAAAACATGTGACAACCAGTCCTAAAGAGAATGTGACTATAAACTAACAATCACATGTTGTAGCATAGCTAAGAAAAAAACAATCTAAACTGTAGCTCTCCTTTCATACGTTTAATGACAACAGGGTTTAATGATTAAAACATCTGCCACCACAATATAATTTTCTATATTTGGAGCTGGACTGCTCAGTATGTGTGCTATCGATACTGTTCAGTCACCATCTTGTAACGCAGAGAGTACTCTGAGCGCACACGGAGCAGCAGAACAACGGGTACAGTAAGAGCGAAACCTTATCATTCATTATGCTGGGTCTAAAAATTTGCTGCCACTCACAAACAGCTGCTCCTCTTATCTATCAGAGTGATCAGCTCTGATCGGACTGAGTGATTAATTATCCTGCAACTCAAAACTCTTCAAACTACTGCTGAGGAAAAAACAGAAGAGTTCTGCCTATGCTGCGTTCAGGGACCTGCAAAAACTCTATATGTGACCTCTTACCCCAACTTTCAGCACCAACATTTATTAACAGCGCCTCCCTAGGGAGCCAGGTCTAATCAATGTTACAATCAACCCGTTCTCCCCTGTAATTTAAGTACAAGTGGTAATGCTGCAATGTCAAAATACTCCATTACAAGTACAAATATTTTGCATTCAAAATTAATTCAATTCAGTTAAAATGAAAGGTAAAAGTACAGAAGTATTATCAGCAAACATATGTAAAGTGTAAAGTGTAAAGTATTTGTTATGCAGATAAACAACCCCTGTGATTGTTATATATTATATTATTCCATTATTGTTACTGACAAATTAATGTTTAAGTAGTATTTTATTGTTGCAATTCGTCGAGCAGGAGCTAATTTAAGTGCATTATATAGTGTTGTTAGGTAGTTTAATCTGTAACATTGTGTCATATTGCAATAGCCAATCATGTATTTTGTTCTGTGAAATCGTAATCACAAACTAACGTAGTGTTTAGGCTCCATGTGTACAAGCCTTAAACACAAGTGGAGCTGCTTATTCACTGATGAACAAACCAATTTAACATGTATTTTCATGGTTAAGGGCCTTTTCTGCCATTTGAGACATTTTTATTGCCACACTTAGTGTTGAAAAAGCTTCAAATAGCTCATTTTTATTACATATTAATCGTGTTCCAATAAAAAAAGCTGCTGATTACTTATTAATGCAATTTTTAATCATGTCACACCTCTAAATCTCAAACAAGCCTCTTATAGAGAAACACAGGGAGCGATAGCAGCCAAGTATCTCCTCTGTACACAGCAACACCTACACCCATCTCCAACTCAGGTCTTAAACCAGTAGTTAGCTAACAGGTGGCCAGCAGGGCATTGGACTATTTAAAGGCCAGTGTAATACCTTACTTACACAACACGGTTACATTAGCCGTTACGATACATACTGAGTGTGATAACATGCAAACACTGTCGGATTTCCTGCTTTTTATAACAGTGTGGGTGTTTAAACTCAGCAGCACACATTCTTATTTACTTCCACATGTACTGATGATCTTTTAACTCTCTTGAAACTGTTCCTGCAGCAAACATACCTTCACTAAACTCATATTTTTTCATCATATTATTTCTCGTTGCCTTGTTTTTATTACTTTTTCATGTAGGTAATACAGGAAGTTTATATGGTGATGAGTTAAGAGACTTCCCTCATCCAGTCCAACATAATCACAGATTACTAGAGTAAGAGCTCCGGGGACATCCTTTGGCTCAGCTTGTGTTTTCCTTCTTTTGCTGATGGTCCCTGTAAAGTTGGTAGTTTCTTTAAAGGAGCGGTGTGTGAGATTTAATGGCATCTAATGTTGAGGATTGCAGGCTGCAACCAGCTGACACTTCTTCTATTTGCCAAGCGTACACTCCCGATTAAGATTCATTCAGTGTTCATTGTTCTGGAGGTTTTTACTGGGAGCCGAATTATCCGCTGAGGACTCCTCCTCTCCAAAACAAACTGATCTGGTGAATTAAACTGGTAGAAACACTGAATAAAGCAGTTTCACATAAAAAAACCTGTGTTTTTACAACACAGAGGGGCTTCTAACTGTGGTGGCAAATACAGAAATGTAAATTTTACCTCTATCCGCAAATGGCAGCTCCTGCGATTTTGGCCATATTATGATTTCAATAATATTTCGATTAACTGTGCAGCCCTACCTTTAGCTGCAGCTGTATTTTGTGACATTTAACACACGTGTCTATCTTTGTGTTTTTATCTCTACATCTGTTGCTTGCAGTCCTCATGAGTGAGTCTATGCAGGGGATTGTTGTCCAGCTGCACAGCAAACGAGTGACGGCAACATCGTATTTTTTCTGTCTCCCACGCTGGACCCTGTTATGGTCTTGGAAACTCTCACTTGCCTATATCGCAGCATCATCGCTGGAGGCAAGAGAAGGCATATGTGAATCACCACAGCAACGTGGATACACGCTTGAATCACTACGGCAACGTGAAGCATCTCCCCGTGGTTACAGCCAGCGGAGCGTGCGTCTCTGCTCTCCCACACACTTCCTCCTCTACTTTCCTCCCTTTCTTTCTTCTCCTCTGCGCCCCTGTTTAACAGCGTGCTGTCACTTATTGGATTACGTAGACGGAAACAGACATATGTACACACTTGCACTTGCTTGACATTGTTTGTAGCGTTCAATCAAAGCAGGAAACAACCTGAAGAAGCCACCGAAGCCCTTCTGTTGTTTTGTGACGCGTCTGTTTTTTTCCTGCTGCTGCACATTCTCAAGTGGCTGAAATTGACTCTCGAGATACAAATGGCAAAACTCAGCACAGCTCAGCCAGACTTGACAACAGTCCTGAGTCAAACTCTCTGCTGCTTGAAGCTGCCTGGAGCTTCACTTTCTGTCAGACAAATCCTCAGAAAAGTGACTTTTAAATATAGTTGTCACTAATCATTTTCTGCTCCATCCGTCTGGTAATCAAAGCAGGCAGCTGAGATTGATTAAGATTTGCATAGACAGAACAGGCTCTCTGCTTAGTTGACTGATCTGATCCAAACTTATGTTCTTAACTGAATCTTAATCTGTCGAGTCAGTGAACCCATCACGAACCTCGGAGCTGTAAGAAAGGCTCCCCTGCAGACGCTTGTTTCTTTTAGTTAGTTACTGAGTTATTTTCAGTGTGATTATTTTTTCAGATAAAATTAAATTGTTTTGTTTAGAGCTGAAATGATAAATTGATTCATCGATCAGTTGACTAATTATTTTGATAACTGATTTATTATTTAGCAAGCAAAAACTGTGAAAAAAAGCCAAAAGTTTCATCATTCCAGCTTCTTAAATGAGAGAGTTTG